ATGTGATGGATTATGTTTATTGATTTCTGTATGTTGAACCAGCCTTGCATCCCAGGGATGAAGCTGACTTAAATGTGGTGGATGAGCTTTTTGATGTGCTGCTGGAATCAGTTTGCCAGTATTTTATTGAGGATTTTTGCATTGATGTTCATCAGTGATATTGGCCTGAAATTTTCTATTTTTGTCGTGTTTTTGCCGGATTTTAAAATCAGGATGATGCTGGCCTCATAAAATGAGTTAGGGAAGATTCCCTCTTTTTCTATCATTTGGAATAGTTTCAGAAGGAATGCTACCATCTCCTCTTTGTACCTCTGGTAGAATTTGACTGTGAATCTGTCTGGTCCTGGGTTTTTTTTTTTGGTTGGTAGTCTATTAATTATTGCCTCAATTTCAGAACTTGTTATCGGTCTATTCAGGGATTCGACTTCTTCCTAGTTTAGTATTGGGAGAGTTTCTGTGTCCAGGAATTTATCCATTTCTTCTAGATTTTCTAGTTTATTTGCATAGAGGTGTTGCATAGTATTCTTTGATGGTAGTTTGTATTTCTGTGTTATCAGTGGTGATATACGCTCTATCACTTTTTGTTGTGTCTATTTGACTCTTCTCTCACTTCTTCTTTATTAGTCTGGCTAGTGGCCTATGTATTTTGTTAATCTTTTCAAAAAATAATGTCATCAGAGTGAATAGGCAACCTACAGAATGGGAGAAAATTTTTGCAATCTATCCATCTGACAAAGGTCTAATGTTCAGAATCTACAAGGAACTTAAACAAATTTTCAAGAAAAAAGCAAACAACCCCATCAAAAAGTGGGCAAAGGGTATGAACAGACACTTCTCAAAAGAAAACATTTATGTGGTCAATAAACATATTTTAAAAAACTCATCATCACTGGTCATTAGAGAAATGCAAATCAAAACCACAATGAGATACCATCTCAGGCTAGTTAGAATGGTGATCATTAAAAAGTCTGGAAACAACTGATGCTCGAGAGGATGCAGAGAAATAGGAATGCTTTTACACCATTGGTGGGACTGTAAATTAGTTCACCCATTATGGAAGACAGTCTGGCGATTCCTCAAGTATATAGAACCAGAAATACTATTTGACCCAGCAATCCCGTTAATGGGTATATATCCAAAGGATTGTAAATCATTCTACTAGAAAGACACATGCACATGTAGGTTTATAGCACCACTGTTTACAATAGCAAAGACTTGGAACCAACCCAAATGCCCATCAATGATAGAGTGGATAAAGAAAATGTGGCACATATACACCATGGAATACTATGCAGCCATAAAAAGAATGAGTTTATGTCCTTTACAGGGACATGGATGAAGCTGGAAACCATCATCCTCAGCAAACTAACACAGGAACAGAAAACCAAACACCACATGTTCTCACTAGTAAGTGGGAGCTGAACAATGAGAACATATAGACATAGGGCAGGGAATATCACACATTGGGGCATACTAGGGTTAGAGGTAAGAGGAGGGATAGCATTAGGAAAAATACATAATGCATGCGGAGCTTAAAACCTAGATGATGGGTTCATAGGCACAGCAAACCACCATGGCACATATACACCTACGTAACAAACCTGTACATTCAACACATGTATCCCAGAACTTAAAGTAAAAAAAAAAAAAAAAAAAAAGAGACTGGCAAAAATAATAAACAGCATTAAATCAAATAAAGTGACTCAGTGCAAAGGGTAATTTAAAATGCAGAGAATATGGAATCTCAGACTGGTTAAAGAGCTAAGTGTTTTTCTTAGCAGAAGTAAGAGTGAGGAGGCAGCTGAACATTTTAATAACAGACTCCGTCTCTGTCAGATTCTCTCTTCTCTGAATCAATTATCTTCATGTGGACACCTGTCAGCCTGAACCTAAGAAGCACTAGTCCTTATTTCCCCTGCTGTTTCCCTGTTTCCCTCCCCTTCTCCTATTAATACTAAAGATCCCCCAACCATCCTGGCACTTCTCTCCCCTCACATCTGAGGGTGGCTGGACAAAGAAGATAAACATTGAAGGAGAAAAGGTCTAATCTTCCCTACAGCATCTTGTACCATTTATTCACTGTATTTTCAAAGTGGAACCTCCATGTTTTTTGTAATAAAAATCTCTGTCACTCATCACTCACCTGCCTGGCACATAGGCCAAGTGGCAGGACAGCATCCTGGGACTCAGATCTAACACTGAGAGGAATTGAAGACAGGTGTCCAAAGCAGCAAGTCAAAGGGCTGATTTTAACCAGTCACTCTCCCTGAAAAGGAGTTCAGTGACTATGGGCTGTACTTTGCAGAATGAAGAGTCTCAACATTCATTTCAAGCATTTTATTCAACTATTGATTCTAACAGCAGGGAAGTTTTGCTTCATAGAGATGTGTTCTTCTCCATGGAGAAGAAGAAGTCTACAGAGGTTCCCAACCTTCCCAATGTCTGGAATACACAGAACATTAGAACATGTGTCTGACTTAATGGACAGAAAGGCAAAGCTGCCATAGCCAGAGGTGACCCTCTTGGAGCTCCATCCACCCTGCATTTGGGGGAATTAGTTCCTCGGAGCAGCTTTTCATGTATCGCCTACTCAGGTCCTGTCCTTGACCCATGAAGAGAATTTCTCTGAGGCACTGACCTTTGGAGGACATTTGAAATCTCAGAAGAGAAGAGAATGACCAAGACAATTTGTGAGTCAGAAATCAGAGCTTTATTATAGCATGAGGTAAAGGAGGAAAAGAAGACCTGCAATTGAGGTGCTCCATCAAGTGCAAAGTTCTTCCAGGGAAGCCCCATGAGTCTTGGTGGCCCCTGTCCACCCATGAATGGAATGAGAGGAAATGGAAAGAGTTAAGCATCAGGTTGTAGCAGGTTCTTGACAATTCAGTCCCAAGAGCTCCTCTGAAGACCAGGTCAGCAGCAGCCCCCAGAGCTGTGGCAGCAGCCAGAGCCCCCAGAAGGTTCACTCTCACAGCAATCTGGGCTCTGGTGCCGGCGCCGGTGGAAGAGACGGGGCCTGTGGTGGCTCACGCAGCAGCCACCACTCCCAGAACTGCAGCAACCCCCAGAGCTGGGACCACAGCAGCCCCCAGAGCTGGGACCACAGCAGGAAGAGACTGCAAGGGAACATGGAGCTGGGCACTGGGGTGGACATTTGGGGGGACACTTAGGTGGACATTTTGGGGTACACTTGGGAGGACACTTGGGAGGGGGCTGGCACTGCTGCTGGTTTTGCTGGCAAGACATCCTGGCAGAGTTTAGTCAGCCTAAAACATAATAATGAAACTCTTTAAATATTTAAAACCAACGATCATATTATACCTCTTCTGAAATCAATGCACGGGTGGGAGAAGAATTATATTTAGATTATACAGTCATATCAGTAATCTGAAAGAAACAACTTGAATCTTTCCTCCAAATGAAAGCACATACATTTAAAAATCCACAGAATGAGCTCCTTATTCTTCCTTTCAGGGGAAGCTGGGATTTCTCTATCCTCACAAGCCTGAGTAGAGTATTCACAGCTCCCTGAAGTACCTATTTCCTTAATACAAGCCCTAAGGACCAGCTGGGTGTTGCAGGACACACCAGGGTGTCCTCTGGAAAAAGATTTTGCAATGAAACCTCCAGATAAAAGGACTTGGCTTGAAGTATTTGCCAGTTTCCACGGTGGAAATATGCCCAACGCGGCAGTTTTGAAGTTACCCATGTGAAGTCACTGAACAAGAATTGGAAAAGATGTGCACAGTTAGCTTTCCCCACCTATATGAGCTCCAGTAGGCCTCAGAGCCTCAATAGATTTGAGGCAGACTGGGTCCTATTCCTGCTCAGCATGGCAGAACACAAGCACACAACTCTCTTACTCCAGCCTACCTCCATCCTCCCCATCCCTCTGCCCTGCTCATACCTCTCTGGTATCCCAGGTTGCCACTCACCCTGGTCACACGCAGGAGCACAGACACGTCCCTGGGGAGTCAGAGCAGATGAGGTGCTGAAGCTGGATGTGTCTTTTATAGGGCCCAGGCTTGGCTCTGAGAAGAGCAGGAGGTGGCTCTTGCACAACCAGGCACGTGCTGGGTCATTCCTGACATTCTTCTGCCTCCTTGTCCCTGCAATCCAAAGAGGCCTCAGGAGCTTCCAGGACTCCTCTCTGGGACTGGGGTCTAGAGAGGCTTTAGTCAGTCACAGACTCCACCAGGTGGGAGCTCTAAAGAGTTAAGTTAGGGTACCCAAGGGACCCACACCCGGACAAGATTCTGTTCCCTGCATTTTTTTAATGCATATCCTCTGAGGAAACATCAGTTCTGAGCTACAGCTTTCCCTGACCTTGTGGAAATGTTCCGTTATGACTCCCTCTACTCTGAGCAGTTTCTTTTCCATGTTTTGTTGTAGATCCAGCCATCCCAGGGGGCTTCTACAGCCTTGGCTCTTTCTAAGCATCCTACTCCCTTGCCTAGGTTCTCAGCCCTTCCTCCTGGGCTCTGTGTTTCTGCTTTTCCTCCGACTCACCGTGGCAAGCAGATTCAGTGGATTAAATCTGAGTTGGTTCTGTGGTCTAGAGCAAAGAGTATGATTGAGAATAAACAATTCCTTCTAAAATCAGAACATTATTCTTAGTCAGAGGAATTGTACTGAATGTGGTACTGGAATCAGAAAAATTGCATATGCTAATTGAGGGATCTTTGGAAATTGCTAGAACAATTATCAACAATTGCTAGAGTGTCACTATGATACTCACAATGAGTATCAGGTCTCATATGTAATGGCCATTATAAACGAGGTATACCTATCTCACTGAGCTGTTTTTAATATTAAGTGATAAATAAGAAAGAACTTAGTGTGACATTGTGTACCTGATAGACACTTAATAAATATGTGTTTAAAAGAAAAACTAATGCCATGTATTGGATACTTACCCAGGTCTTATGTGGCATTCATTGTCCATATAGAACCCTTACAAGACACTTAGTTTATTTGAAAACTCCCTTAGGAAGTGGACATCATTTCTTGTGGCTTCTGTGGAGAGGGAACTCCTTTCCTACCCTGAAGTAGAGGGTCAGAAAGGGGTCTCCTTATTCAGAGTTCTGATTCGGGGTTGCACTAGACAGAGTTACCCATTCGTTTATTCATTTATTTTAAACAGATATACTGAGGATGAACTTTGAAAACCTTAGGCTAACTGAAATAAATCAATCACAAAAGACTGCATTTCTTATGATCCTGTTTATATGAAATGTGTAGTCAACAAATCTGTGGAAATAGAAAGGGGGATGAGGCTTTAGCCAGTTATAGCCTCTCTCAGGCTGGATCCCTGAAGAGCTGATTTAGGGCATCTGAGGAACCAGAGCCTGGACAAGATTCTGTTTCCCTGTATCTCCTTTTACTTTTATGCACATCCTCTGAGGAAACATCAGTGGCTTCCAGGTACTTTAGCAGGCTGGGAGAAATTAGAAAATTACAACTAATGGATACAGGTTTTCTTTCTGGAGTAATGAAAATGTTCTAGAATTGTGGTGGTGATTGTCCAACTCTGAATATACTGAAAACCACTGCATTAACATTTTAAATAAATGAACTATATAATATGTGAATTATGTCTCAATGAAAACATTGAAATTAGAATTGAAAAAGATAGTTATTCACACCTCTGATTAAAACAGAAACAGACCACGCTTTCACACTGTCTAATGCCTACTTGGTGGGGGAGGGTGGATAGGTAGAAAGCATAGTTTCCCGTTGTCTGCTTCTACCTGAGGGAATATATTCACCTATTTATCCAATCCTATTTTCAGACCTGATTCCTGTTCTCAGAGAGCTTTTACCTCAAGGATAAAGTAAGTCCACAGTGTGATTAGAGCAGTGTATTCAAAAGGCATTCTTTGAAAGCCTACAACATTCTTGGAGCACGTATGTCCAAACATACGGATATAGAGGTGAACAATAAGTAGCCCGTGACCTCAAGGACTGCAGAATGTAGTGGCCTTTTTGAAGATGACTGCAGAAAAACTGGGTACCAAAGAAGTGATGTTTGGGGCCTGAACCTCCTGAGTCACTAATTCCCAATGTGATTGAAAGATGTTAGTTCATTCCACTGTCTTCATGGTGATATCACCCTCAGCTTCCTCATACTCTTTGACAAAGATATTTGTAACAATGTTGTAAGTGAGGAAGTAGGGGAGGCAAGCTTGTGTGTGTGTATGTGTGTGTGTGTGTGCGCACTGTGTGCATGTATGCTGTATTCATATAAAAATGTAAGTGAAATGAACATGCACATACTTGAGCATCTGGATTGAGTGGTTGAATAAGCAATGGAAGGACTAGTGGAAACCAATCCTCTGAGAAACCAGAACTGGGAAATAAACAGCTCTTTTTTGCCCACGTTTTTGCCCACTTTTCTGCTTTATATCTCAAAAAATGGTAGGAATTGGTTCACAAGTCGGTGAAGAAACACCTGACTACAGGTATTCTTGCTTCTGTCTCCACAGTCTTCACACCATCATGTGTGATCTCTCTGAGCCAGGAGACCCATGGGTCACATTGCCCATGCTCCCTCAGGGACCACCCAAATACGTAATTGCCTCATGAATGTTTGCAGGATCAATGCACCATTTCAGGATCACATGAATGAGTACATAGGTGTCATGAGAAGAATGGCCTGGGCGTGATTTCAGACATTTCATCTGAAGTTCATGTCATCTGGAAAGTCACTCTCCTGTAGGCTGGTCTCTCTAAGTAGCTCCTTGATTTCTCTCCCTGGCAACTTAAACGCCATATATTCCAGAAAAACACTCCCTACCAAATGTTGGAACTTTATTTTACCTACAGTACAAGAAAAAGCCTTACCATGTCTTTTTATTTGTCTCCCCTTATTTAATAGACTGACTAATCCAAAATTTTCCTGTACCATAACTTTTGATCTTTTTTTCAATATTGTCTAGCAGTGTCTAGTGCTAGACAGAGAGACAGGGAGGAGCACAGCAGAGGGGTGTTCTGGGCAAAGCCAGAATTGGCTTGTCTAGTATTTACATACATATTTATATGACCTAAAGTGGATCAGTTTTATACTTATCTTAATTCATCAATTCCATGATACAGTCTTCTAAAGTTTGTTAACAGCCCTTAAATCAGTATATACCATATGATTGGTGGCACGTAATAGTTGAATTTGCAGCATTTTTTTCTTTCCTTGTGGTGCATGAAATAAGGGTGCCCCTTACAACTGATAGCCTCTTAAAGCTCAGAAATACAGTAGGTAGGAAGTGAGTACGTAGATATGAAATGAGATGATGACAGAATTGACATTGTTTAGTATTAGTTCTGTTTCTAAGAATGTCAGTTCTAACACTTTTAACTTGGAGTTATATGTTTCTTTACAGGTACTAATTTGATACTAATGTATTTTATAAACTGCCTGCCAGCACACCAAGAATAGGTTTAAAAGGGCAAAATTATTCTCGTCCTGGCTCTAATTTATCTGACATATTATTCAATTCATTTTGAAACTCAGAAACCTTGCCAAAAAACCACCAGCAATGCCAGTGCCTTTAAAGGGCCCTCCACAGTGCCACTCCAGTGCACAGCCCATGTTCACCTCCAAATCTTCTTGTGTGACCCCTGCATGGGAAGCAGCTACAGCAATCATCAGTTCCCAGAGCTCCAGCTACTGTGCAGTGTCAGCAGCCTTGTCTGTGCTGTACTGACTACATCTCTGTGGAACCAACGTCCAAAGGCCAAGGGCCTCCCCAGCCACGTGCTGCATTCCCTCTCTCCAGTCCTTCTAACATGACACCCTTGTTGAGACTCCCGGGGTTACCAGGTAGAAGTTTCTGTTTTCCCAATATTCTCCAAAGGTCTGTCCAGAAATTTGCCTTTATCCTAAGTGAAAATAAAACCATCATTTCATGTTCTTAGTGTGTCCTGGTCACAGTTGGCCCCTCTTCTGTCTCTTGGGTCGTATCTCCAGTGACCTCCATGTATTCTCTCAGTCTCGGTGATGGTTAATTTTGCCCAGGCTGTGCTATGGTACCCAGCTGTTTGATCAAACGGCAATCCACAGGTTTCTCTGTAAGTATTTAATCAGTAGACTGAGTAAGCAGATTATCTTCCCTAATGTGAGCCTCATCCAATAAGCTGAAGCCTTTAATAATGGAGACTGAGGTTTCCCAAAGAAGAAGAAATTATCTTCAAGACTGCAGTGTAGAAACTCTGCCTGTTTCCAGACTACTGCCTTGCAGAATTTAGACTCAACGTTGCAACATCAACTGTTATCTGAATTTCCAGCCAAGACTTTGGACTTGCCAGCCCACACAGTCATCGCATGAGTCAATTTCTTAAAATAAATTTCTCTCTCTTTTCTGTTTCTCTGCATAACCCTAGCCAATACAGTTCTACCTACCTCCCTGTCTTCCCCTGAGGTATAGGTTGAGTGGAGTTGTGCTTTTGGGTCAAATACCTCCATATGTGTATATACATATATACACCTACATGTGTGTACAAATGATAAAAATAACAGAAAGTAATAACTGATGCTGACTGACCTTCTATTTTGTTCTAGGTATATTTAACTGTTTTATACACATTATCTCATTTAATCTTCATACCAATCCTGTGATGTAGGTAGTATTAATATCCCCACTATACTAACTAGAAAACAAAGGCTCCTAGAGCTAAACAAATAGCCCAAGTTGACACAGCTGGGAATAAAGTTCAGAAAATTTAACCCAAACAATTTCAATTATTTTAGCATAATGTCAACAGGTTTCTGAGAACAAGTTTACACACAGCATAGATATACTGCCACACATACACACACACACACACACACACACACACACAATGTCAGACCATCTTTCTAGTCCAGATTGTCAATTATTTTGTTTGGTGGGTGAATTTTTCAGATCATTTATAACTATGCTTTCTAAATCCCTCTCCCATGCCAATTCCCTGCCAACCTCATTGTCTGTGTACCT